TTATGAGTACGGTCTCTAGTTGTGTCCATTTACCTACAAAAGCCTCGAGTTTATCTTTATTTATAGCTGACTAATATTCCATTATATAAAAATACCACAACTTTTTTATCCATTCCTCATTTGGGTTGATGGGCATTTAGGTTGCTTCCACAATTTAGCTATTACAAATTGTGCTGCTATAAACATGGGTGCACATATATCGCTGTGATATGATGCTTTTAGTTCTTCTGGAAAAATATCCAGAAGGGGAATAGCCTCACTGGCCTCAGTAGTTCTGTCTATCAAATGGTATAATAGTAATTAACTTATGCAGGTTTAAAGTAGTAAATGAATGTTACATTGAAAGCACTCGTGGTACTGCCTGGCACATCATGAAGGCCCCAAAGTGTTCACTAGCAGTAGCACTGTCAATGGCTCTATGTTGCTCTGGTGAGCACTCAGCAGTGTCCACAAATAGAAATCATGCATGATAAGAATGATGTGCATCAAAACACACAAAGTGCTTAGCACAAGACCTGGCACATGGTAAGTGCTCAATTTGCTTATTACTATTATTACCTTAGAATGCCCTTGTGCCCTGCAAGGCTACAGACTGAGAAGTCACCAGAGGCTGTCCAATCCCTTCGTCTATGCCAGGGGTCCCTGAGGAGGGAGCTCTGCTGTCCACTAGGGCTGTCACCCCAGCACCATGCCCACAACTTTGACTCCAGCAAAGAGCCACTCTTTGAACGTGGAGTAGTTCCGCACTGTAAGAAAACTCACTCTGCAGAAACCAAACATTAACACGAGAGAGAGAGAGAGAGAGAGAGAGAGAGAGAGAGAGAGAGAGAGAGAGTCATTTATAGTATGTGCAACAGAATCAGTAGCAACAGAATCTGTATCATAAGACCATACTTTTATATAATAATCAATCCACCATTCACTTTGGCTTCATGGGTCACTAACAGTAACTCCTGTGGTCCCATTAAAACAGAATCCATTCCACTTAAGAGAATGCAGAAAAGTGATGAAGTGAGATCAAGGCTGTCGTGCAGACACCTAACGAACGCACACACCTAGGCATGACCATTGGTGACTCACAGACAGACTCGAGTCTCCCGGCGAACACAGAACCACACACAAATTCCTGCCCCCCAAAAGAAAACAAAAGCAAAACAGCCCAGCCTCCATCTGATCAATTGGTAACTCACCTAATTAGAGAGAATGGAAAGAATAAAGAAAAGATTGAAAGGCATCAAACAGTTCCAATCAACAAAATTCCAACTGTGGGAAATTCTGCAAGACCCATGACCTGATTTCCTTAAATAAATAGCAAGAGAGAAATAAAGATGCAGAGAGAGTCTTCAGGATGAAAAGAGACTTAAAAGATTTATCAGCCAACTTCATTGCATGGCTTTATTTGAATGTTGGATAAAACCAACTGGAAATAAAGGTACTTATATTTGTGAGACAATTAGAAGCTTGAATACTGACTAGATATTCAGTGATATTAGGGAATGGTTGGATGGCTTAGTGGTAATGTTAAAAAAATTCTTTGAACTGAGAAACACATTGAAATATTTATGGCTGAATTGATCTGATATCTGGGATAAGTTTTAAAATCAAGCAGAAGGAGGGATGAGGATAGAGCAGTGAATTGGGTCAGGCTGGCCAGATTGGGGGTGCTGGGTGACAGATACATGGGGTTCATCATACTATCCTAATCTACTTCCACTATTTTAATCAAACTCTCCATAATAAAAAGTTCACAGAAAAAGGCAGTTCATAAAGTTCAGTTTGACCATCTGAATGTGAACTCTGTCTTCTGCAACCCCCAGATCTAGTGTATTGGAGTTTGTTATTCTCAGTTCTGGCCTGGCCTCCAAGATTTCTGCTGGGAGAAAAGTTGAGCCTTGTCTCCGCTTAAGAAGTGAACGTCTTTCCTGAGGGCAAAAGCCCTGGCCTCCGACCTGGCAGAATTGGAGACTAGAAGATAATTGTAACTGGATAGGTAGAATTCTCTGATACCCAAGAAATCTAATCTTAATACTTAGATCGGTTAACAGGTAGCTCTGTTTCAGAAAGTGATTTAAAATACAGCAAAAGACGTGTCTTAAATATGATCCAACTTACAAAAGGTGACAACTCTATAAGATTCTATCCAACGCACGAGCTCAGTGAGATGAGCTGGCTGGCCCGTACGATTTTCAGGTGCTCTTAACACTTGGTAGCTGCAGAAGACGAGCTGACTGACACCAGACCCCAAGGGAGCAGAGGCAATGACAAATGCGTATCGCCTTCTCAGACTGACTCCTGGATTTTTACCTGCCCACCCTCCTTTGCAGTGCAACAGATGGCCCCAGAGAACTCCATCCGTTCCCAGGAAAATGTATGCTGCCATGGAGATTTCCTGTGTAGACTGGTGCCCCCAGAGTGGCCTTGCCCAATCCAGATGGCAGAGCAGCCTCCCCCGTCTGTAGCTCCCTTGGACAGAAACCCACAGGGCCCCTGGGGCCACCCAGCCGTGCAACTGGACACATACACTTTGTAAGCACTGGTTTCCAACAGATAAATGTAATCAAGGTTTATATGCTCAGAGAAGCCAACAGGATGGGATTGTTTCACTTGAAAGATCAGAAGAAAATTGTAACTAATGTTGTGGAAAATTACTTTGATATTGCTTTCTTGGTACCGAATCACAATTAGGCTGCTGTGAGAAGTACAGGGAAAGAATAAATGAATAGTAACAAATCAACACAAACAGCTCGTGTCAGGAGCACTTTGCTCAGGGAAAGTAACGTAAGCATTACTTAAAGTTTTATGACTGTGTTTGGTGTGATTTACGTAGAACGTCAAGGTTGCCCATCACATGGCACGTGGTGAGGGTGGCCCACTAGCTTTCACGACAGAAGCACACGGCTCAAGATCCACGCATGCTGCTCACCTGGGCTTGGCAGCTGTGGGGACGCTTGCCTTCGCTTCATGCCATCCTATACGCTCTGTCAGCCTGAGGCTCTGATCTCTCTGAGGACCCCCAGCTGTCCTGTGGGCCTCCACCCACCTATAATCCACACATCCGGCACTGGGGCAGCTGTACAAGCTAAAGCGAGAAGCTATTTCTGCCAAAGCAAGTCCTCTGCTTTGCCAGCTGCTTGCAGCATGGCAGGGCACATATTGTGGTCACCATAGCACCATCCCACCTGGGACTAGACCACCTGTCCCAGAGGCGCATCACTGAAGGGCCCACACACCTGTCCCACCACAGGTGACTTCTCTCCCTGGCTGCTCCTCCACTGAATTCCCCACAGAGGACACCTGAACCTGTCCATGTGTGCACCTGCAACTGAACACACCAGCATGCACCCTAAGGGTGCAGGACCCTCTATCCAAGCAGCTCTTGAGCACCCTTGTCCCCAGTTTGCTCTGCATGGATGACACATAGCCAGAGGGACCAATGCTCATTCTGCCTTCCTGGTGCTGTCCTGTGGGACCCTGCTGGGCTGACGCGGAGTGGCCCGCTATTTTAGGGCTCCCAAGAGCCTGCAAAGTCCCCAGAGGGACCGCCTTGGTCACACATCCTTGGCTTCCTCACAAATCAGGATGCAGCTCAACTTTTCCAAAAGCCACCAGCTGTGGGGGTCAGGCTGGTTGTGCGTCAGCACTGGGCCCACCTGCTGTCTGCTAGGCCCACTGCTGTGGCTGCCTCTTGCTCATTCCCTGATGAAAGGCGCCACTCTCAGCCCTCTCACAGGTGGGGCCCCTGGAAGCAGCTGCTAGACCCAGGGGTCTCTGACCTCCTTGTGGTCTTTCTCCCTTCCTCCTGGTGTCTACATCCTTCAATCTGTGCTCAGGGCCATTCATCACGGGTCCCCTGTTTGCAGAAGCAAAACACTTCAGGCCTGACGGTTGCAGTGACAGGTGCAGCTCTGGTATGAAAGCCTGAGCCAGAGGAGCTAAGGATGGGGCTAGGGAAGACGCCATGGGCCTGGGTACCCTTCCTCTTGCGTGAGAGCAGGTGCTCCTAAGCCATGCACTCTCATCCGGTGCTACCAGTTACAGGCAGGGCAGCACGAAAAGTCATCTGTCTAAGTATCCCCCCCAGAGTCTTTCTTTCTGTCCCTGGCTCGGGGCACTGAGCGAGTACATGCGTGTACATGCATGTGTCCTTTGGGAAGAGGGTTATCTGTGGGGTGCAAGTGTATCCACATCCTAGAGTATGTGGGTTGAGTAAGGGTTTTCAGGGATCCTCCTCTTAAGGAAGTCACTGCTGAGACAGACTGGTGCTTGGGCCAGAAACCCTACTTTCCTCACACTCCAAAGCAGAGTAACTTCTGGCCCTGCCCCATGCCTCTGACCTCCAGCCCTGCCAGGTCCAGCAGCGGGGCCCTCGCACACTCCCTTTTCCATTCTGTCTACCCAAGACACCAGCACCATCTTCCTATTCTCACTCCACAGCCATCCCCCCTGGCCCCACTGGATCTGGGCGACTTAAAGAGGATGCTCTTCTTCCCCAGTGGGTCACAAGGCACAGGGGGAATTGGAGGCAGCAGGGGTGGATCTTGGCCTCATAAGGCCAGGAGGTGCCCCAAGCCATCTGTCCACGCCAGAGAGGCCAGAGTCAAAGGCCACCCAGGGCTGTGCAGGGAAACCGAATCTCATTTGGGGGTTATGAGCTATGGGTTCAAGCAGACCTTGTTCACTCTCCCATAGTCTAATGTAGAAAAGGCCCCAAGAGGTGGGAGAAACTCCTCAAATCTTCACCAAGGGCAACAAGTGATGAAATCTCACCACCCAAGTGGGGCCAGAGGTGGCTACGGAGGCCAGAGGCCAGAGCCCCGAGGGTGACATCAGATAGAACATTCCCACGTTGACACTGATGCCTGCTGGGGGGAGGCCAGGACCTCTCCTCTGCCTGCTGGTGCTCTTGCCCCCCAGGCTCAGAACATCAGAGTAGACATGGAGGCCTGTGCCTCTGGCAGGAAAGCACGGGTTGGTGACAGCAGTAGCGAGTAAGGGCTTACCTGGCACCTGCTGAGGGGCAAGCTCTGTGGGGTCCTGCAGGCTGATAAAGAGTAGGAGGCCTGCAGCTCCGAACAGCAGGATGGATGAGAACATGCAGGCCAGCCGCATTGTTCCAGGTCGCAGGGTCATCCAGGGTGCGCTCCAAGGTTACCTCTCTGGTGTGAGAGATGCGTTGCTCCCTCATCGTCCACACCAGGTATCCATCAGGGTGTGAGCTACAGAGAAGAGAGGAAAAAGAATCACTTCCAAGCTGTAGGGTCCCGAGACAGAGGTCCAAGTCACTGCAGTAACTAAGTATAATCCTGGGGTCCCTCGCTCCACCCTGGGGACTACTCAGGTGCACACCCTTCCACCTTTCAAGCCCAGGGAGGCTGCAGGAAGTCCTGTTGCCATCTGTGGGGGTCTCCTGTATCTTCCCTCCCAGAGACATTTTCTGGCAGGTGCCAGAAGCGACCTGACATTTACACTTGGTGACCACTGGACACCTGCCTGCTCCCTGAACCTCCAAAGGAGCATGCGTGTTCCTTGTGCAGACATGTAGGTACAGGTGCAAATATAGCTCCTGGCTTCTAACTGGTTGGGTGGACAGATCTGCCTCCACCCTGGCTCCTTTCTACATGATACTGGGAACGGGGACCTTTGAGAAAGAGCCTTCCAGCTGGGGATATAGTTCAGTGGCATAAGCGTCTGCCTGGCAAGCACAAGATCCCGAGTTCAATTCCCGGTACCCCCCCGCAAAAAAAAGAGAAGGAGCCTTCCAGACCCAAAGGATGTTCAAGAGCAGGCCGATTCCCTTTCATACCAGGCAGATCTGTTCTCACTAACAGACTGACAGGCAGGCTGGAGGGGTTCAAGTCCCACTGGAGAGACACTGGTAAGAGGAGAAGCTCTGACCAGACCTCGACCTGGGCAGTCAGACCTGCAGTTTTCAGATCCCAGGCTCAAAGGCTCAAAGGTTCAAGCCTGAGCATTAACATCCCGTCTTTACTTGCTGTTTTGGCCTCTACAGACCCCCAGCATGCCCATGTAATTTGTGCCTCACCCTGAAGGGCAGAAGAAATGCCCAATACCCTAAAATACTAACCAGGGACTCCCACCTGGGCCAGGCTCTGGGTCAAGAGAGGGGCATCTGAAGGCCATTTGCCCAAGGAGGGGTGTCAGTTCCTGCAGTGGGTGGTTTGGGTGCTGAGAAGGCAGGGTTACACAGGCAGCAGGTGTCTCGGGGACTTCCTCTTTGAAGCAAGGTCCCTCTGCCCCCTGACCTTCACCTGGCTTTACTGGCGTAAACCTAGGATACCACCTCCTTTCTACCCGCCTACCCGCCACCTTGACACAGGGAAACGCACAAGGGATGCTGAGGCTACCAGGGCCGCTCCCAGCAGCTTCCTGGATTTCACTTAGGTGGCCCCATCTGGTTCCAGACAGGATGTACTGCTTAATGAAAGACATTTCCTGCCTAGGCCCTGAGACACAAGGGAAGCAGCCCCCGCCACAGCCTCTCTGTGCCCACCCTGTAGACCATGAGGCAGAAAGAAAACGATGAAAAGAGGGCCAATCCCCTCGACCCACCCAGAAAAAATTCCCAAGAACTATATTGCTTATCGGTAAAGCTCAGGGGCCGAGGAGTATAAACTGTAGATTTGGGTTTCTCCCCTCTGCAGTCTCTGTAATTATTTTTTCACTCAGTTAACTTTAATTAACCTGCCTCAGGCCTCTACGCGCCTGGCGCTGGGCTCCCTGGACTGTGCCGAGTAGGTGGTTCCCACGACCTCCCAGCTTTTATGTTTGGAAGGCAGCACTGAGCTGGGCTTGTTTTGTATCTGCAGCTGGCTCCAGGGTTGCAGGCAGGTCTTGACCTCGGTGCCGTGGCTCTGCCCCTGCCCCAAGACTGCTATTTCCTGCTATCAACCAGGGCCATACCTGCCTTGTTCATAATGCGTGAAGAGGGGCCACTGTGTGTTCCCCAGAGGCTCAGACTGGGAACCCCTCAGGTGGAAGGAGGGCCTCTCACTCTATAGCTTCCCTGGATGAGACCATCTTGGGGGTCTGATTCATTGCCCTGCAAAGACACAGGTGCACACTGCAGGTTCCAGCCTCACTAAAGGACAAGGCTAGTAGCATGCCCTGATACCCTAGACACCCCGGAGCCCTACCCTCAGGGATGACAGGCGTGTGTCCCAGACCTGCTAGGATCAGCCCTCAGCTCCTGGGCCAATAAAAGCAACTATGGAAGGGTTGCTATTGTCCCCTGTCCTTACTCTACCCCCTCAAGCAGCTGGCATGGCTCCTTGGGATGCCCAGGCAGAGATGAAAAGGAGTTAGAAGAATGGAAATGACATTACACACTGACGCAGTGGAAGCCAGACTCTCAGACAGGGAGCGGGGGAGGCAGTTCAAGGCCTCGCTCACGTTCACACACATTCCAGCCATAGGTTGGAGCAGGTGCACGGCACTAACGCGCATACACATCCCGGCTGCACACACCACTGAGGATCCCTAGAAGGCCCCCAATGCACAGTGCTGGCACACTTTCTGCAGCCCCAATGGCTTCCTGAGTCAGAAGCCAATTTGATTAAAGGTGGGTGGCCTCTGACGTCAAGATATTTTGTAAGGAGGGAGACCAGAATGGAGAGAGGAAGGAGAGAGGGAAGGATAAGTTACGGCGAGTACACAGAGCTGCCAATGGCCAATAACGTGTCCCCCAGTATCGACCCAAAGACTATCTAATGAACAAAGGCGGCTCAGAAGCACATGTGATTCTCATCTTGTTTGTTTAGTCGCTGGTGCTGTGGACGTGGCTACAGAAAGCTGGTTGGTTCCCTCACCTTTCTAACCTGTCACACTGCCATCATTTGAGCCGCAACAGACTTCCCTTGCCAGTGACTGAAAGGGTCCTGCAGCCACGACCTGTCCCAGCTTTCTGAACACTGCACAGGTGGCAGGAGAGTCAGCTCAGCACATTTGTCATTTCCAAGACTCTCAGGAGGACGGCACCCTGTCCACACCCAGGGAGGTGATGTTAGATTAGCTCCTGGCTTCCCCATTCAGCCCCTCAGGCCCCAACCTCGGCCTTTTGCTCTGGAGTCCTTTTCTCTGTGTTTGTTCTCACAGGCAGCCTGTGAGCAACTCCCAGCTCTGTGCGTATAGGAATCTGAAGGTCAGTCCTTCTCCCCAGTGGCTCTCAGCCTGGCTGGGTCTATAATGCCCAGGAAGGAACCGACATCCTGGACTCTACAGAACCCTCCTTCCTCCAAAGGTGGGGAGTGGACAGGAGGTCCCCAGCAGATCCGAAACGTACACTACAGAGAGGATGCACCTCTGATCCCCACTGTTTCCTGCAGCCACGAACTGTCCCTTTTCTTTAAAGTCACAGGGTATTATCAAGACAAAGGGAGATGCCAATCCAAAGCACATTCATCTCCTACTCCTTTGCGTCCAGCTGCTGTCTGGGAAATGGATGTGATAATCCTACACAGGCCGGGTCCTGGCTTCCCTGGAGCCCCATTAACACATTCACGAGTCTCAATTCCCACCTGGGACCGCCCCGTACTCACCAACCACAACACCACATTCTGCGTCAGTGACGGGTGCAATCTCTCCTCCTCTCCAAGACCAACAGACAACAAGGAAACTCAAAGAGCCGGGGGGAGGGGGGGGGGCGGGGGGGCGCAGATAAGGGGGAGGGATAAAGCAGGAAAAACACACAGCCCTGTTGAGTTTCCAGACACTCCCGCCCTCCTCAAAATTCTTAGTCCTCCCCCAGGCTTCTCTCCCCAGGCCGGAATGGCGTCATCAATTTTTACTTTAAGGAAAAAAAAAGAAGAAAAGATTCAATTAATCTTGTAAACACCTCCTAGGAGATAGGGCAGGGCCAAAGATTCCTCCCATTTCCTTATTTATTTGATTTAAAAATTTGTCTCTTCAGGGAAACTGACTTCAGGGCACAAGAAAGGACTTGGGAATTCAGCCAAAACACACGCACCTCCAGTGGTGACGGCCAGATGCACGGACAGCTCCAAGGACACGCTTGGCTGCGGCTGCTCCAAGGCCTGGACACTCGCCCCAATCACCCAAAGGACCCTCTGGCTGTGGGGGACCCACCCCCCCACGTGCCTGCGAGAAGCAGCTGGGTACACCCACGTGGTCAGCAGGCCTTGGGCCCGGGAAAGTTCTGTCTCCCTCTGTCTCCTCCTCGCACGGGCAGGAGCTAACAATGACGTCCCTCCCGGCTGAGGGCTCCAGGAGAAGCTGCTCCTCGGGAGAGAGGCTGCTATGGCAACTTGAGGAGAATGGAGCCAGCACTGCCGTCACCTTGAATCCGGCACCGTGCCTCCTGCCACTGCAGCAGAGGGGTCCCAGAGCCCGGCTCTCCCCCTGCTGCAGCTGGGCGCCGGTGGCTGACCCCGGTTTCTCTCCTCAGCCTGCTGGCCTTGGGAACTCATCTGCTGCTCGCCGATCGGAGCACACAGCCCAGTCCCCGGAGAACACTACCTCCATCTGTTTTGTCAGACTAGTTCTTCCGTGTGCCGCTCGGGCTTACTTCTGAGATAGGGCTTTTCTTGATTTCAGCTCATTAAAATCCTGCAGCTAATTAAACCGCTCTAACGGCAGCAGCGGCGGCGGCGGCGGCGGTGGCGGCGGCAAACTCTGGGACGCGTCCCTCCAATTTTTATGCGTAGGCATAAAGTTGCAGTGTTCTCCGAGGATGACGGATGGCTGGGGTTGCTCAGGCTCTCGGGCAGGGCTGCAGACTCAATTGCTCCCAGGATAAACGCAGGGCCTGGGGTCGCTGGCCTGGGTCCTGAAATCCTCAGGGCCCAGCCTCTGGAGGAAGCAGGACAGCCAGGCTGCACCCTGCTCCTAAGCATGGTGATCTGCCCACCATCTACTCACTGCCTGTTACAAGGCAAGGTTCCCTCCAGCCCTCCTATGCTTCTGCGGAGCACAGAAAGGGCCTCTTAGGCTGGAGACCCAGGTATAAATCAGGTTCAAACACGCCCTCCCAAAGCCTGTCATTACAGTCCTCCTAGGAACAGTGCAGCTCGGCCTCCCACCAACTTGCAATCACAGAGCCGCAGTGACAAGGTCCTGAGAGCCACACACCATGGACTGCTACTAGCAGCAGAATCATACCGTGGTTACCATCTCTGCAGGTTCCTCTCCTTGCCCTTGGCAGCCTGGAGTGCCCACTCTGTACCCCAAATCCCTCAATCCT